GCTACTTGCCTTTTCCGCCGCCCAAACATTTTCGCGACCTGCCCCATCTCAAAATGTTTGTCAAACATTTTGTCAAACGGGCGACTTTTGCCCCATTTCGAAATCTTTGAGAATATTTCGTCGAAGATTTCCTCCCATAAAAAGTGAAACAAAATCTTTATCCGCAAATGTTTGAAAATTTAGACATTTTCCCAAAGATTTGGTGACCATAAACATGGGCCTAAGCGAGGACAATATTTTTATCGTTCCTGATCTCGCCCGAAAACACACGTACGATCCATGAAATCCCTCGGCGTAGACCATCAGAGCACCGACAAAAGGTAGGGAAATGGTTCAACTCATTCGGACCTGAACTGCCGACCATATGGGACAAGTACTAAAGTGACCGGATGATGATCGCGATTACAAGCAAATCCAGTCATGTTACTCATTCAGATGAACCTTCACGAGTGAAGAACGCTGCTGACAGATTTCTCAAACGATCCATGGGCGGCCCATGAAATGTCCATCATGGGCTCAGCATGAGCATGCTCATCATGGGCTGCTCATCGGCCGCCGATGGGCAATGAACCGCCCACGGGCAGCCCATGGTGAGCACTCACGCGACCTTCCACCGTGGGCAGTCCATGGGCTACCTATGGGCTGCCCATGGGCACGTACACCATGGTGGGCAGCCCATGGGCAGCCCACCGGGGGCACTCAAAAAACTGCCCATCATGGGCAGCCCATGCCCATGGTGGGCGACCCATGGGCAGCCCATGATAGGCACTCACGCGACTGCCCATCATGGTGGGCACGTGCCTATGGTGGGCAGCCCGTGGGCAGCCCATGGTGGGCACTGACGCAACTGCCCATCATGGGTGTACCCATGGACTGTCCATGGGCACCCATTGGCACGTTCGTAACCCACGGGCAGTGCCCAGTGCCCCGTATTGGGCACACTGTCCATTGGCAGCTCATGGGCAACCCATGACGGCCACTCGCGCACTGAAGCAACAGGCGATCATGGGCAAATAAAATGTCCATGATGACGGGATGCCCACGGTCTGGCTAGAGTCGTGGGCACCCACGCACATGCCCCGCAAGGGCTGTCCGTAGGCCGGCCATGGTACGTGTAGAAATCTACGCAGACACACACAATCCCATCCATGCGGACTTACCATGGGTAGTGTTATGGCTCTTCTTAGGGTGTTTTGGCCCAGGTAACCTTGTTTTAGTATGCGTACTTACAGTAGTAGGCAAGTGGTTAGCCAAGACTGAGTTCGCGAGAAAGCTATCTACTCCTCGAAGAATTAGTAAATTTTCAAACGGAAAATGGCGTTTTGGCCGAAAAACAAGCCGCCATAACATTCTACCGGTGCAGCATTGCCATCTTCCCCACAACATTCTGAACCCGGAACGTCCAAAAAAAATCAAAGAGGTAATGGCCCAATTAAATTTCTTTCCAAAAACCCTGATTCTGGTCACTATCTCACCGACCGTCCATTTTCATCAAAGTCGAAAGAACGCGAACGTCCCTCTTATCGCGGCGGATCTGCTGCTATAAACGAGGTGTGATTCGTTCATGTACTAGTCGAAATACACCAAAAGAGAAAATGAGCGAAATGTTTCCCTGATTATATTTGCAGTGTTTGGAGATGCTATTTGCTCCACCGGTGGAGTAACCCATTACTTGCTCCACCAAGCAGATCTCCATCCACAGAGCTCCAATCGACCTCGAACCAATTGCATCGTATAGCTATGAGCTTGAGCGTTCTGCAATGCTACCTGGAAGCCAAATCCGACCGGTGGCTGAAGAGATACGCTGAAAGGGAGGAGCTCAGCAGCATGCCAGGAAGCAGTAATCGTCTCGAACCTCCGTCCACACAGCGTTCATTGGCCTCAAACCTTTTTCGTCGTGTCCGCACGGTCCATACCGTTCTTTGAAGCTATCGGACACTCCCATCTAATATGTTCCCGCAGAGATATGGTCAGCAGAGGGGGTTCCGCAGCATCTAGAGGGGGGGTGTACTCATAGTCGTGCATGCCGTAGTCGTTAGACCATTGACCTCGCATCCCTACAAAGCCGGGACGGAGCACGCCGGGTTCTCACCGGACCAGGCTCTCACATCACCAAGCGCGAAGCGCCGTGAGGTATTCGGCGAGTCGCATGAAGGGTGCGCTGCATCCTGCCAAGGGTGTTCGGCATCTTGTGCGTACTTCCTTGCATACGGATGGCAGCTGCGTATGACTTGATTTTTTTTTCTGGTGCTTTCACTTCCAGAGACAGTTGTAAGCACTGCTGTGTATTTTTTCATTTTGGGAAGCAGATTTTGAGACAAGAAATTTTCCGCGAAACTTCGTGCAGGCAAATATTTTTACATTTAAGCAGCTTCATGTGATTCGGGCGACAACAGTTCTGCCATCCCACCCATCGAACTTCCCCTGTCCGCAGGTACAGGTTTATTTGTGTGCGCTTGCGCGACAGCTGCACCTTGCTGACATTCTGTTGAGTGTGCGTGCATGCAATACGTGTGCGTGCCTGTGTCGCCCCCTCAACCCCAGCAAGCACACGAAACGGCACCAGGACGGAGAGACGAAGTAATTATTCTGGCCAGCAGCCTCTGACCGAAGTGCTCTGTCGCATTTCAAGCGTTCGGGAAAGGAGAGGTTTTTGGGACGGGGGCATAGACTAGTAAAAAATTCTGTCTATGCTGCTAGCAGAGAAGAAGACAGAGAATAATCTTGGGCCGGGAAGTACTAGCCCGTATACATCAGGACGCCACTCTGTGCTCGTCCTCCTGTCTGCTCCCCTTTGCTGGTCGTGCTGCCACCAACTCTACGTCGTCGTTCGTCGTTGTCTCCGCGGTTCCGACGCTCTCCTTTTCCCCCTTGCCTCAACCTGTGTGTGACGGGCGCGTGTTTCGGACCTAAGGCCGCGCAAACAAACCCAACTTGGCTTTCTGACCGTGCAGCTTCCCTCTTGTTGGTGGCGCGCCAACTCCAGGGCCTTTTCGCTGGACGCTGGCCTTCTCTTTGGCCGCACGGACTGACTGCTGTATGTGCGTGTTGGTGGTGCCTGATGTGTTTTTTTCGACGAATGTTGCTAAACAAAAAATTCAACATTTTCCTACAATACTAGCCTCCCTCCGTCTGGAGAATATTTCCTTATCGTGCCTTGTGGGGGGATTGTCCGGAACGATCCTCAAAAGGATGGCTTAACCCAGAGTCTTTTTCCTTGATTCGGAGAATTTTAGAGTCCGACAGAGTCTATTACACTGTTTTTACTGACAGCCTGCAAGTTACCGCCTTAATCGTATTGCGTACACAGCACACAGCAGTAGCCCGGTTGGGTAGTATCTGGGACCTCTGGTACTGTGCCACCCTCGTACAGCGCACGGGCTAAATAGTGCTGTTGGATCCCTTGATGATCCACACACAGCTGTTATGCCTGTGTTTTGCAAGGTTTCGACACAAACTCAAACAGCGGAGAGCTGCGAGGCCCCTTGTGACGTCCTCTCGCGACATGTACATTCATCACACCCCCAGGCCCCATTCACATGTCGAGAACCAACAGCCGGTCATGTACGAAGAGAGAGCCCAACAAACATGGATGGATATAGAGCAAGGCTGACGGTGAGAGTTGGACCGCTGGTACTACTTGCTAATGCTACAACTTGAGCCTCGCGTGTAGGCTAACATATTTCACTTGTGATGCACATGTCCGTTGCTCTACATGTTTTTCAGCCATGTACACCTCGCGGCAGCGTTTTCAGCGGCGGTGGGGGGGAAGAAACGGCGAACGGGCACTGCTGTAGAAGCGAGTAGGGCGGCCGAGGCAACGCTTGTGGCGAACTATGCACCTGGCTGATGTTGTTGCGCCCGGTTTCCCTCCCTGCCGTATGCTATACTCCTTTATGTATGTCCTTGTATTGCCTTCGGCCTCTGTGCTGTGTTTCTTTTTTTTTTTTTTTTTCATGACCTCCCTGCCTGCTCTGCTGTGTTGGGTACCTTGATCTCGCTTTGCTGTTGCCTCTGTTTTTTTGTACGGCTGGCTGTCTGCCCATCTGCCGCCTCTTTGCCCTGTTTGCTCCGTTACTCCCATGCCCTGGTGCGCAGTGCCTGGTGCTGGTACGTTACGTTACCCTTTCATTTTTTCTTTCGGAGCGTCCTCCTTTATTTTTATTTTTTTATTATTTTTGTTTTGTTTTATTTTGATCAGTGTCCGAGGGCTCTTTTCTCGAACAGTAGGTGCGATACCTGTTCTTTTCTTTCTTTCGATCATTTTGTTTTCTTTTTCCGAGTGGTTTGTATCCTATTTTTGTTTTTTGTTTTCTCGCGGCGTCGTATGTGCCGGGTTTTGAGACCACGGGCTCCCCATTTTTTGTGGACTATAGAGCTAATGTGAGAAACAACAACAACAACAAACCTCGCGGCAGCAATTCCACCGCACGTGGGGGTTCTGCTGAACCTTTATTCCTCGATTTGGCGTCTGGGTCCTCAGAATTGTTTTCGTACATCATCAAAGACGACCCGTGCTGTTTGAGGTGATTTGTTGTAGTAGCCCTTGCAGTGGGGGTTGAGGGAAACCTGCTGGATGCTTGGAGACGCGCTTGGAACTCGGTCGCGGTGTTTCAAAGCCTGAAGCTCATCTTTTGCTGACCCGCTTCGTCATCACGGTATTCGACGGTACTCAAGGAGTGGTTTGAAGGACAAGGTCCATTCGGCCAACGCATCTGCATTGTGTAACGCGCTTTTTGTCCTCCCTCTATGCTTCTCTCCGTTCAGCTGCACTTGGACCAAGCAAGGCACCGGTGATGAGATCGCGGCAAAGCGGCGTTATCAACAAGAAACTCAAGACATGTCGTCAACATCCAAATAGCATGGAGAACCCTCAACCAGGCAGGTGGCGCTATGGTCTCTCCTACTTCCTGCTTGTAGCTGACGTTCGATAACAATGTTTGCGTGTATGATGTTGCCGAACAAATGCCTTACGTTAAGCGTTATCCTCAATGAATGTGCACGATAGCTGGCAATTCAACCCCAAGGATGAAATACGCCTGCTGGGGAGCGGGGAAATGAGGGACATCTGGGGGTTCCGTTGATGACCTATAACAGCAACGGGGTTAATCTTGGGTTGGATATCTTGGTACAAGCAGACCAGCATGAGTCAGCCTCGTTTATATCTACGCCTTGGTATGTTGTGCCTCGTTTTCTTCACGTGGTGACAGCTCTGCATTTGGGGGCGCATGGACAGCTTCAGCGATGCTTCGTCGCGGGTAGTCTTCTCTCGACAGTTATTTTGTAGCTAGCAGCTGCAAATTCTCGAAAGACAAAGCAAGGTATGGTCCGTTCGGGCAAATATTCACAATAATCTTGTTTTTCGCGATATCTTTCGAAAAAAAACGATTTGGAAAGTGAAACAACTTTGGGCGTGACCGCGGCGTCGAGCTTCGTCGATATCCGATGAGTTTTTGGTGATTGGGTGAAATGCGACATTTTTGACCAAAATGACCCACGGAGCCCCCACCCCCTCATGACCCCACGGAGCCCCCAAAGTATACCACGACCCCCCCTCCACCCCTCCCTTCTACACGTATATGCCTTCAGAACATCAGTTAAACCGTTGTCAATCCATATTTACATTGTTTACACGTTACATATGTACATACATACATACAATACCGCCGTTTACTTTCTACTCAACCCCTGGCTGGTGAAGGTGCTGCAAACAAAGCATGCAGCAATCACGTCCGTTCTCTCTAAGCAAGTCCGATACCAAGAGAGACAGCTATAGCGTTGAGTTGGTGACCATGACGAACGCCTCTACCGCGCCTAAACGCGAGAAACCAACACTACAACACACCGCGACATATAGATACGTACCCTCCCCACTCACGCCTGAGCGTGCCCGCCCAACCATTTCCTCAAAAAATTCATCGTGTTGCGCAAAATCCACAGCCGTAGCTGCTCCTTCCGGGAGGCTCTCTTGCTCGTCCACGTGTTGAAGGCTTCCCTGGTCGCTGCCATCGACTTCTTGCGCACTTCCTGCGCAGCCGCAAGCGCCTTCGCCTCGGCTGCCTTCTTCTGCTCCGGCGTCTTCCCCGCCCCCCTCGCCTGAATCACGGCATCTCCCCTGGCGGTGGCTTCTCGGTGCTTCCCCCACTCCTTGAGATCGCGGTACTCGAGGTAGTCCTCCAGGCCCTCGTCGTAGGCTTCGATGTACAGCCACGTCACCCTGCTCCATGCGCGGATAAACCGTGCGGGTACGCCGCTCAACGCGCCGGGCAAGACCTGGAGCATGTGGCGAAGGGAATACTCGCAGTGGAGGCGGAGGAGGTGCTTGATGTACCCCCAGTATCGCTCGATTGCGTTGAGCTCTGGGTGGTACTTCGGCAAGAAGATGCACAGGTGCCCGTGTGCCTTGAAGAGCTTCTCAACCATGTTGAGCTCCTCCCTGACCGCCTTGAGCTCAGACAGAACGCGCACGACGCAGCAGCGACGCCTCTTGCCTGCTTCACCAGCTGCCCCGCTCCCACCCGAGTCCCCGTCCTCTCCGCCGTCCTCCTCTCCCTGCCCCGTGTTGTCCACCACCTGCTGCCGCCCCTCTCCACCGCGGTTGAAGGCGGTAATGGCTTGCCTTATTGCCGCCTTTTCCGCCCTGCACGCGCTGCACTCGTGAAGGCGTAGGGTTGGCTCGCCTTCCCACAGCCCCATCTCCATGAGCAGCTGCTTTCCTCCTTTCGGCAGGCCGATGAGAACGGCGGTGGGTCCAGTCGTCGTCGTGGTCGTTGGTGTGCATGGGAGAAATATTGGCGCCTTCATGGTCGGAAGAGGGAGGAGAGTCGTTGCCTACAGCAGGGTCCGCAGGGGGCGAAGGGGCCTTCCGAATCGTGCCGTCGGCGTTCCTTGGCAGCTTGCGCTTACCCTTTGGGCGACCCATGTGCCCGGAGCGCGTGTGCGTCTTTCGTTGCGTGCGTAAAGGGTGTGTGTGTGTGTGTCCTCTGGTGCGTGTGTGGCGGGAAAAAATTCCCCGAGGGCGTGTGAAACCACCCGAAATATCTCCGAAACCCGAGTTTTTTTTTTCAATCGGAAAAAAATCATCGGTGGGAAATCACGAGAGGAATCTATTGCAGCCCTTTATTTTTGAATCGTACGGTTGGATTGTCCCCAAGAAACTAAGCAAAATACCCTCCAATGTCTGATTTTTTGCCCATAACTCCGTTATTTTTTGTCAAATTGGAAATCGGAAAAAAATCATCGGTGGCAAATCACGAGAGCTGTCCAAATCCGGTCTCAGATTTTGTGTCTGCAAAAAACACCGCCCTCCAGAAAGTAAGCAAGATTTCTTGAATATCTGAACATATCGAGCGAAGGACGAACAAAAAAAAAAAAATCCGTACGAAGATGCGCCTTGAAACGTCGATTTACGCGGTATTTTCAGATTTCGGAATAAGTACCCCCACCCCGAGAAAAGTGCACCCTTGTGCAGGGGAAAATATTGTGAATTTTTCCGGAAACGGACCATACTGCTTGTAGAGTTTAAGAGGGGTTTAGCCCGCCGCTCGTTTTTTTTTACCTCGATTTCGGAAAACTGAACCGTGTGACGCCTTCTTGAGGTTTTGCGCATATAACCAAGAATTCGCATCTCGATCCAAGCTTTCGCCGTCGAGAGGCCGCTGAAGCTGTGTCGGCACTCTTAGTCAGCTTTTGACTTGCGAACAGAATAACCCACGAAAAAAAAGGGCCGGTGTTGGTAAAGAAAGGAACAAGACAAAATTGTCAGAGTCACACACAACGCAAACAGCCGCAGATGCGCCAGGCACATAGCATCCACGCACTATCCACCAGCACAGGTCACACACATCCACAGCGGTGAACCAGAGTTCCGGCTCGTTTCTCTGACAGGTCGGACAACAGTGGAAGCACACCGCGACGAACGGCACCGCGGAACACCAGCAATCAAGCTACTTCTCGCTGGTCTGTTGATACAATAGCCCAAAATGTATTTTTGACCCTTGGTCTCACAAACCCTCCACTACCCACAAGCTTCGACTGCCGAAGCTGATGGCATGTGCGGCTAGCTGCACTTTATCCTGGTTCTCAGACGCCTTCCACATTGCCAACACTCTGGGAATGGAGCTCAAAACCTGCGTCAGCGTGTTTTCCTCAAACGGCAGATTTGGTGGGGATTCGACCTTGAAGCTAGCCGAATCACCACCTAGTCTAATCGATGCTCTTTCAACACCATTCTGATATAGGTTTTGAGCTCACCCTGTTGATTGTTGGCAATGTACAGAGCTTCCGAGCACCGGCATTAGTAGGGTTAGCCGCACAGGTCATTGTCGGGCGGTCCAAGCTTGTGAGAGGCGGAACATGTGTGAGACTGGTGTTCAACATTAGAGGAAATTACAGTTTTGCCTGCTTCAACAACAGCGCCAGAGGGGCAGATGTTTGATCCTGCAAACACCCACACCCACGTTTCGGGGCTCGGTTTCAAGTGCTGGTAAACCTAGCTGCACATCGTTTGAGCGTCGGCCGTCAATGTTTGTGGAAGGCAGAACGTGTGTGAGAAACGAAGCGAAATGACGTCTCCATCCAACCCTAAGCCATTTTTGACGGTCCCTGTTTTCGGCTGTTTTTTTTTTCACCCCATAAAAGGACAACTGGCCAAAGAACTCCTTCTTACGGTGTCTTTGTCAGGGAAAAAAGACCAACGAAAACAGACAAGCCGTTCAATGCACGCCATCCGGTCTTTTCTTGGGCAGTTCTGGATAAGTCGGGACTGTCAAAGAAATTGTCTTTGTTTGGTCACAACCACATGACGCTTACCTACAAACTTGAATCTCTGGACGGTTTATCCCCGCAAACTCTAACGGTGTTCACACGAGCTGTGTCATGTGACCGGTGCAGAGTCGGTAGCATCAGCGGTAGCCGTTGTTGTTTTCATTCGGCTGGACCAGGTGGACAACCCGATGTGTGCGGCAAACAAGCGGCAAACGGGCCGAGAGAGCCCGGACGCAGCAGCGGTGGGTCTTTTTGTTGTGCTGTTAACTGTTGCGAAGCCAACTTCTGGGCGCCCTATCGCCTCCTGGTCTGTGTCAACCACCGCACAAGACGGACCATACGCACAGCTCATGGCGGATACCTTTGTCATCGCTGTTGCTGGAGTGGGTGGCGAGGGAGCATCGATGAACCAAAGTTGCGAAACGGGAGAAAGAGCAACAAAAGCTGCTTAAGACGAGGCGGGTCATTCTTCCCGCTTGTTCACGACTCTCGCGCTCACAATTTT